TTCACAAAGACTTCATCTACACTAGTAAATTAAACAGTCATTCCTTGGTTATAAGGCCAATTGGTAGCGACTCCTGACCCAGCCCAGGGCGACCTGGGAGGGCACGGGTTAGCCTGGGCCACAGGCATGCTGGGGACCGCACAGCTCATTGCCTCCCAGTGCCAGGGAAAGTTTCCTGCTGCCCCTTCATTTACCAGGCAAAAAAAAAATCCTTCATTTGGGGGTACTGACAACCAAATGTGCTCCAATCTTGTCTGGCTTTAGGGCATCACATCCTGACTTGACCAGGATAAAGCCTTTTGCTGTGTGGAAAGAAGGTGCTGGACCTTGGTACCTTTTGAGGCCATCGGAGTCACCTTGCTCAAGTTTGACATGCACTGCTGTACTGTTGTCTCCTGTCTGTGCCTGCCAGATGTGGACAGGAAAACTCTCAGAAAAAGTAACTGCTCATAATAAATGAGCTGTCTTAAAACCAGACCTTTTGCCACAGATTAAGATACACTGGATACAGGAGTCAACCATACCTTTGCAAAACAAAATCTGCAGTGGGCTTAGATGTTACTTACCCGACACTGCCAAATACAGACCTTTGCAGTGATTTTCAGCCTGAGTTGGTTGTCACCCAGCTCATATGTACTGAGGTCCATAAGGACTGGAAAAAGAAAGCTGATCCTTCTCAGTCAATAAAATTTTCCAGCACAGAGTGGGCAAGTAATTGGCAAGATGGTTAATAATAACAAAAGCAGTCCAAGGGTTTAGTCATTGCCAACAGCTAATGCCCCTGAGGAACAAGCTACTTGATGTCAGTGCTTACAGCTCACTGAACACTAGAGACTTTTTTTTCCTTAAAAATAGCATCCCTATTTACCACATTATTGTTAAGGAATGATTGCCGTTTTCATCATAGCTGCTTTTCTGACTACATTAAAACATTGCTCAAGGCAGCTCTATAGCTGCACCTGTGCCCCAGAGTAAAGTCTGGGCATGAATAACCCCGGGAAAGTCATGTACAAGGCAGCAAGGTATTGACACACATCAAATGGATTTGGGGTCTTATTTGTTTAACAGAGGATGTTATGAATTCTTAAAACTTAAAACTGGAATGCAGTTGTTAGTTATCAAATGATGCCTACACCTTTTTTCATACAGAAAAATGTGCGCTTATGTCTGAAAGTATCTAAGGGGGCCAATGCATCTCACATGCCAAGCTTTTAAACCTTTTAAAGAAGTCTATTGGCATCTTTTAGAGAGGAAAAGCAGGCTTGGCTATTGGTATGTTGTGACTGGTTTTCTCCTCTGCACTTCTGAGTTTCTATGTTGATCATAACCAAACAGCACCAGGCTGAGCTCATGGACAGCGGGACGGATTTGTACTGGGGACCCCCCCCATGCAATCCTATCAACGCTAACAGGTTAAAGGAGGGACAGGCTCTGCTTGGTGCGGTCCTGGAAGTGTTTTGCTGGTTCTGGGCTGTGGGCCAGTGGTGCACGAGCTGCTCCCTCGGCCATGCTGAGGCCCAACACAAAGGCGCTGACTGGTGAGAGGTGGGGGAGAGGCTGGTAGGGGAGATGAAGGCAGGAGAAACACCACGGCAGCATGTGAAGTTGAGCCCCCAGGCCAGTGTCACCCACAGTGCCACCACTGAGCTTTCTGAACTTGAGTCATGGCTTCAGTGTTATTTAATTACAGGCCGCTGTGCTTAGTAGTGTGATATGCATGTGCCTCGTGCTATTCGTACCCTGCAACCTGAGAGAAGCTGGGCAGAGCCCAAGCTCCCCCGACGTGGGGCATGTCCTCACGGCGTGCTCCTGCCGGGGCTCAGCACCCAGAAGGGTTTTGCCAGCATTTGAGTGAGCATCCCCACTGCAACACCCTGCCTATTTCACTATCTCTCCATTGCTTTGGCAGCAAGCTCTAAAGTTTTTCCCAGATACTTGTGGGAGAATTTGTCTATTGGATGCCTTGGAAAGAACATGGTAAGTTCAAATGATTTTGGCCTGAAGATAATGGCTATACCACAGACTTCAACACAGCGTGGCGGTGCTCGGGCTGGCTGCTGGGTACCAGAAGCAATGTAAGTGAGAAAAACCTTGAGCTCTGCACAGAGCTACTCTGCCTTGCAGGTAAAGAAAAATAGGTAGCAGGCTGGGTCTACACTGTTCCCTTAGAGATATGCTGGGTCCTCTGTGTGATACAGCTGTGCTAACATAAGGAAAGGAAAAATGTGTAAGGAAAAAAGCAGATGTTCTAGTCCCAGTCACAGAGGTGAATTGGGAGAGAAGGCAATAAACCATATTGCTACTAGACCAAAGTCTGGGACCGCCACACGACACATGCAGAAGAGCAGCTGCACTGTGGTAAGCGGCATTTTTCTGGGCTATTTTAAGATCTTTATCCTGAATCAGCATCCAGGTGGTATACTGGCATGTTCAAACGTAATAGCTGGGATTATCAGTTTATCCAAAGCTCAATTTGTGTGACACCCTGATATATAAATGCATTTTTAAATTAAGAAAAATGCTATCGGTAAGAATCCTATTAAACAGCAGATGATATATCAGGCATTTAAATGTACATGTACTTCTGTGCTTTGAGTAGTACAGGCTCATTATTTAAATACCAGGGAACTAGACTGACAAATACCAGGATTTAGAGTAGATATGTTTTAAGCTTGGAAGGGATCATGATGGTCAGAAATATCTTCCCAGCATCATAACAACGTACTCAGCTGGCAGGCACAGACACGCGTACCGAGCTGGCACGCACCTACTTGAATGCCTTCCCCACTCAGTGTAGGCTGGGAGAAAGGGTAAGAGGGAAAAACAAACTTATTTGCAAGTCTTGTGTCTTCTTCTGTGGATAGATATTTCCCGTGTGAAGGCTGCGGCACCCACGTAACACCGGCAGCAAACACCGGGGGTGTACAGCTCCGTCAACCAAGCCACGGCAAAGTTTGCTCCTACCGACGGCTGCTCCTCGTGGGCTGGTTTCCATGCACCTTTAGCTGTCACCAGAGACTGTGCGCCGCTACGCGACTGCCCGCCGGGGGTTGGTGGCACCACCACCAGCAATATGCAAGGTGTAGGTGGCCTCTGCTTGTGCTCCGGAGGCTCGAATGGGCTACAGCAGGCGTAGGGTAACTAATAGTTAAATCAGATAAAGAATACTTAAGTACCTGGAAAATGATGGTGAAATTCCTGTCTAATTGGTCGATGGCAGACATCCTTGAATCATCTCTATTTAGAGTAACTTTGTTGCGCAGGTCTTCTTTCTACCCAGAATTTTTTAAGCATAACTATGACCAAGATTGTCCTGAAAATGTCACAGCTAGAGCTGGCTGAAATTTGGCTAAGGAGCCAAAAGAAGCAGAAGAGGAATCTGGAAGAAGAAAGATGGTATCTCCACTTTCCGCTTTCTTCCAGCCCTCTAGTCCCATCAGCTCAAGAGGTGCCAACTATTTTAACAGAAGAATTTACAAAGGGCTGTCTTGTTCTCTGAATGTTTTGATGTGCCTGAAGTGAATTTCTGCACTTTAAACAGATGCGTTTGCACCTTCACTGCAATGGGAAAAGCCTAATGACATTATGGTGCCCGATGGCATTTGTAGGTTTTCCAATGAAATAAGAGCATTATTTTGCAAAAGGCACTTTATACGTCTGTTCTCCCCTTTATACTTCATAAGAAGTAGGGAGACAGAGCTATTTTTCTGATCGTCTGCTTTTGCATAGTGAAGGTATTCTTTAATATAAAGAATAGTTAATGGGTATATCAGAGAGTTCAAGAACAACTATTTAAAACAAATTCATTTACCATATACATGAATGTTTCAGGCTTAAGAGGACAATGTCAACTTGTAATTGGGGAATTAAAATAAACATCCACAGTATGAGCTTTAGATACAAGGTTTTGCTCATGAGCATTGCTGGATGCACTAGTCATTTTACATTTGTTCCATTTTGTCTTTCTCATGTTCTTGTGTGAGCAGCAAGATAAAACCTATCCTGATTACATCAGGAAAAACCAGGCAAAATGCTATCAAACACAGCAAGACCACAAGAGAGGAGAACGTGTGTCTCCAATCACCACTCAGGTGAAAAACACATTTCAGACAAAATGAGTTCTGTGGCTTTTTTAATATCCTTTAAAAAGGGGTAAATATTACAGGATTATTACCCCAGTACATTGCCTTTTGTCTAGTCATTCACACCTGTGAAAATTGAATGCAAAACCACACGGCTTCACAACATTTAGGAAAGTAGAGAAACACGTACAAAGTATCTTCAGGGTTAAACTGGATAATGGTCCTGTTCACGTAAAAAAGGCCAGATTTTCTTCTCGCTTAGACTAGTGTAAACTGAAGAAATATTTTCCAGGTAGTATGCTATGACTTTTTCTAATTTATCTGACTTTGCTTAGACGCAGTTATCTTTGATAACCAATAGGCTTATACCAATATAAAGCATTACAGAAGAATAATTTTCCTTTAAACTAGTGCATGGAAAGTTAAAAAAAATTCTACTTTTGTATTCTGCAAAGAAAGGCACATATTTGCACATACTTAGAAACTACCACTCAGACCTGCAGGTGGCAAAGCAAGCCAAACAACGCAAACACTTCCATAAGCAAGAGTGAAACGTGGTCATTTGGGAATTTATTTTTTTGGCAAAACACTGTGAAGCATGGCTGGGGAATGTTGTATTTTGAAAGGTGAAAAGGCAACAAGATGCATCTTTTTTCTAATCTATAATGGCTGATGTTTGGTGTTTTCTTCTTACAAAAAATGCAGTCCCTGCCCACGACATACTCAAGTCACTGCTTCATTTTACTTTTTCTTTCCCTCCAAGGCAGGTGGATGGGGATGAACACGAAGAAAACGCCAAGATTACTTCAAAGAGACGCAGCATGCTCAAGGCAGAGCACACCCTCCTCAATACTGACGCTGGGTTAGAGGGTCGGGCAAGAAGGGGACATGCTCCGAGTCCTGCCAGCTCCTCTGTCATCAGTCTGCCACCTCCTCCCAGCTGCACACCACGCCGGCATCCTCCTCGTGGGAGCAGTTGTGTGTGCCGACGTCAGCGTGGTCACACTCCAGCAGTGTCTTCTCCTGCCCGGAGCACTGGACATCATCCAGGAGAATGCGAAGGGAGGTCCCTTCCCCAAATTCTGCCTTCTTGCTGGCCCGCACCACGTAGGGGAAGCCCAGCTGGCGGCACACCACGGCGGCGGCGGCCGAGCTCCAGCCATCATCGCATACCGTGCCCCACTCGCCGTCAATGTAAATCTCCACCCGGCCCCGGCTCCGGCCGCGGCCCCGCTGCTCCATCAGCCGCACGGCGCCGTTCCGCGGCGGTGCAGCCGTGCCGGGGGGTTTCTTCTTCCTGCGCTGCCCCCTCCTCTCTCCTCCCTTCCTGGGCTTGGAGGCCCTGCCGCTTGGCGCTGGGGTGGTGGGTGTCCTGCTTCGGTTCCCCGGCGGCGGCGGGGCTTGGCCCACCCAGTCCACAGCTGGCACGCGGGGGGTTTCGGGGTCTGGCCTGCCTCCCCATGGGGCCTCGGTCGTGGCCTTCAGACGGGGACGTGGCGTTGGTGTTTTCACAATAAGCTCTGTTGGGGCAAAAACCCAGGAAACCATGAGTCTGTCACTCTACAGACACTACTTACAGACAACTGTAGGAAATCAGTGCTGATTTTTTACTTATTTAACTAATTTTTTGGAATTTGCTTACTTGATTCTGTTGAGAAGTGACAACGCTCCTGGTGAGCCAGTATTTCCTCAGCAAAAAATGTCAGCTGCTTTTATTTAGCAGAGAGGACTGCAGGGCTTAATGCCAACTGGTAAGCCTCTCCCAAGAAGGAAACTCCAAGCAGTTTATTGGCAAAACCTCAGCCTGGCCATTAAAGGGTGGGCACTGGAGTTTCACAGTCAGAAGAGGAGTTCCCCACCCTACCCTTCTCCCCCTGCTGAAAGCATTTTAGAGACAGGAACTATTTTTGCTCTTCTCTTCATTACTAATGATTGAAGCGTTACCAGACCAAGAGCGCCGGCCTCCCCACTGGGCCAGATGCTTTATTCAGAGGAGCTGAAATCAGGAACATTCAAAATCAATTCTCTCTGGCAACTGGAATGTGCAAAAGGAACGGAGTTGCCAGGACAACACATAAAACAGGATTTGGGGTTGGGTTTTTTCTTCCTTATGAAAAAAAATAAAAGAGCCTTGAACTCTGAAGAGCTGAAAACTCTTTGCTGTCACAGTTTCCAGGCATTACTGGACTTGCTTATTCACATGTGCTCTATTTTTAGCTTAAAAATAAGTTTTAGCTTGTCAGAAGGAAGCAATTCAGAATTACTCAGAATAACAATCTACTGAGCTGGGACAGTGTCACATACATTTGCCAAGACATCACGACTTTTTGAATTATATCCTAGACTTATCCATTCTCATTCATCATTTGCTTTGTAGTACAGAGACGAGGCAAAATATGACTGTCTTATTTGTGCTTAATATGTGTCCCCAAAAGACAAACCCTTGCAGCAGCCCAGTTTTTCCAAAAAACACTCTTTGGAGAGGAATTGTATTTGTGGAATGAAAATAATTCCCTTCTTTGGAAGTTGAAGCTCTGAAGGCAAGAAACAAATGGGAAAGCCTTACCTGTGCACACCTCAGTTGCTGGAGCCTGATCTGGCAAAGCACTTAAAAATCCTGGAACTCATATAATGTATGTCGGACTGCATGAAAGCTAATGGACACTTGGGAGTGCTTTTCACCTCACTGAATCAAGTTGTTATTATGTATTACTCCTTGTCAAGCTGTTTATTAAATACACTTCCAACAAATGTACTCGTACACCTAATGCAAGCCACATGCCTTGGTGATTCTGCTACCTTCAGACTAAACACTAACCAAAAGTGCAAAATATTTACAGCTATGCGTCCTGTTTGCATGCTTCTGAATCAAAATCTTCATGCTTGGTTTTCACCTACACGTGAATTTAGTTCTTGAGACACTTAGCAGAGTGTCTCCCACTGGGTCTAAGTTTTATTTTATGATGAAAACTTCCTTGTAAACAAACCCAAAAGATTTAGTTATATGTGTAGTTTAAAAATCTGAACTTCTGACTTGCATAGAGAATAATGCATAAGCAGAAACAGACAAGTTTGCTGGCTGAACACGAACCAAGTTACTAACATTTGGAAACGGTGTGCACAGCTTGCAAAGGAGAACATTTCTGAAGATGTGCCGAGTGCTCAGGCATGTCAACAGTCAATAATTAGCCTTAGATCTCGTTCCACCTTAAAGACTCAATCTTGCAAGGTGGTGAGTGCCCTCATTCCTCCTTGAAGTCAAAGCTGTAGGAACTGTCTATGACTCAAATGCAGTGTCACACGATTAATGTAATTAAAAATTAAATAAAAGTGTTCTGACATAAGAGATCCTACAGTAATACTAACTTCACGACAAAGTTGTTAGGGTACTGCTTAGGTACTTACATTTGTAAACAAAATGCACAGGGGAAAAGAAAGGTGATGCTGCCTAATCTAATTGTGAGATCCTAATAGCATATTTAGGGTTTTGCATTTAACATAAATAGTATTTGGCTTGCTGCAGATTCAGCTACCTCGTTAACTGCTTCAGCTTTAGCAACACAATACTTCATTCAGTATGAAGCAATCAAAAAGCCCTGGAGGGTTTGGATAAGCCAAAAGTTCATCTGAATGGCTGATCACACCGATTCCTTTGAGAGCGTTTTCTCATCCCATATTCTCTCGTACAACTAACAGTGACTCAGCCCTCATCTTGCTCAATGAGCTATTTCCCAATCCTTTAGCCATCATCTTCAGCTCCTGAAGTGCTCCTCACTACCTGAAGGCACTGCAAAAAATCACTTATCACTGAAAAGCACCATCGAGCACAGGATCTCAGTACAGAAACAGTTATGGGGAAACCAAGTTGGTGGTAATGAAACAGGTACAATGTAGCATGGAAAAGAGAAAATGTGCAACGGCAGAAACTGCAGAGAAGATTTCGCATGGCCAGGAGAGGTGAAAATATCTTATGCCTTATTTGAACGAATGCTTCAGATCCAAAACAGCTGGTAAGAATTAATTTTGAGGATACTCTGAAGAGCGAAGTCCTGGGTGGTCTCCACGCATACAGAGAGAGCGCGAGCCTGGAGTTTATATTTACTGCCAGCTAACGTGCACCAATAATAAGCAGCAACAGTGACACTTACTCTCCTTTGGCACAAATTGGATGCGCTTGCTTTTTACTTTCACTGGCGATGGCTCAACTCGGCATTTTCCTGGTGGTGCTCTCCTGCGAAAAAAGGGACACGTACAGCGTACAATTAATTCCTTTCCCCTGGCATCGTGAGCCTTTGCTTCCCATTGTTTTTCAATGAATGTAAAGCTCACTGGAAAAAAAAAAAAAAAGTCTGTTTAAATGATCCAAGTAATCTCTTACAGGAGAAAACATAATTAAACAATCACATATCTTCATTGATCAAAGTGCAAATATTCACAAGGCAGTGGAGTCCTCTGGCTGTGTTTTCACTTGCTATTGCTGAATCCATTAAGGAAAAAAACATTGGCAGGTTCAAGCATTACAGCAAGAGATTAACCAAACTGAAAATAAAAATCACAAAACTAGACAGTATATGTTGAACATCTGACACAGAGGTCATGTGTACGCAAGTTTCCAGGCTGTCTTCAGAGAAGCAAAATAACAGACTATTATTTGCACATAAAGCCAAACAAAAGACTCACTCCTACGAAAGTAGTCCCAAAAATGCATTTGTTTCAAGCGAGAGCTCTAAGTGTCTCCTACAGAGGCTTCCTCTTGGAACACCACATTATTTTGACACAAATTTGTTTGCCGTGGAGGTACATCTCACTTCTGAGAAGTTACATCCAGTTCATCATCACTTTTTCCTATGCTGGCTGGCTCGTTAATCTGCAGCCTTCTTCAGAGGTTTTCAAACTGGTTCAGAAATGCATTATGTTTGCGTTTGGAGGGTATAGCTCCTTTGTAATTAGGATTGTTTGCATTTGCATATCTGTGGAAGGCAAAGAGCTCCCCTCTCAACTACTGCCACAGGGACTTTCCCTACTTTTATGAATTTTCCCGAGTTCTTTCTTATTCGTATTGCTGTACTCAACACACCAAAGAAACTTCTTTTTAAACTTAAACTTACGACTTTCTTTTCACTTCTGCTTTCTTTATTTTTGCAAAGGTTGTGTAATACCAGCCTCTTAATACACAGTTTACAGGAACTCTTCCACTGTGTTAGATAATGGAAAATGCTCCTGACAGAGGAGGAGTTGGAGGAAAGCAGGCGGCAGCTCTGGGGGCTGTTTAACTTTGGGGTCTGGTTCCAACATGAAACAAAAAAGTGGTTTGGTTCAAAATGCTCGGATAGCTAAAGCTGTAAATTTAATCCTTTTAAAAATATAAAAGCTACAAAAGTCTCACTCTACATGTCTGGCTGAAAGTATTTTGGTGTTTTGCCAATAATAGTAATGCTTAAAAAACAGGAAGATGGAAAAAACAGCTATACGTCTTCCCATAAAACACAAGTATTCCCTGCCTTGCCCCATCTGAAGATATGCGCCCATGGGATCCAGAAGGGGTAACAAACCATTGTTACAAACCTTGTCCAAACCATTTTTCTCTTTGAAACACAAAAAAAGAATGTACTTTTTGACATTTATCTCTGGTTTGCCAGAGAAAGCACTGCAGGTCACACTGGGTCAGCTGCAGCTGCCTGGGCACGGGGCTCTTATGGGAGATGCAGCCAGCTACAAGGGATGGAGCGGGACTGAGAATAAACACCTTGAGAAAAACTCCCTCCTTCTGGGCAGGAATCTAAAGAAACTTGGCCTGAGAAAGACAAGCCACCCATAAAATACTCCTTTAGCTTTCAGGAACAAATCTCCCAACCCCCATAACACCAACAGGCCCCATAACAAGTTGGTGATCACCAGGCAGCGTAGACTCCCGCGACTTCAGGAGCAAAGCAGACCCCCAACGGGTTGCTCCAGCCATTCCTTGATCAAGTTCTGCAGAAGGGCCCAGCATGGGAGAAGAGCTAGTTAGGCAGTCAGCATCACTCATCACATCCACACCTGGACACACTGCACCACACTTAGGCTTTGCAACAAGAACATCTCATACCTAGAGGTGTCCACCACTTTGTACACCACTCCATGGGGAGCCGTGGCGCTTGGTATGCCGGTAGACATGAAGTAAAGTTCCCCTGGGGAAAAAACCAAACACAGCCATGAAAACTCTCCATGGAGCTTCTGTCCTGTACAGCACAAAGGTGTTAACTCTGCATCAGAGGTCAGAGAGCATCAGGAAACCCAGGACCAATGTGGAGATCTGGCTGCTGGAGGAAACAAGGCAGGTTTGCATTTGGGTTTGTAGTGAGAGTTCATCTGCAGTCCAGTAGCATAAAATACTCCTAGTGAGAGGGAGCTTTTACATATTGTCATGAAATATTATTTGGACAAATTTCCACTGCAGGTTCAGCTGCCCAGACTTTAGCTGTGATCTCAGTCTGATCTGTGTCCTTTAACTTCTCTAATGCAAACCAGTCAAACCCTAAATTCCCTTTGTCGAAATGAAATCAAAGGAAACTAAAAATGTTCACACTGCCTTCTGCTCTTTTGGATGAAGCACTCCTTTGGGGTGAATTACAGAGGAACAAGATTTTGCTTTTGCTTTCTCTAGCACACTCACGAAGTGAGATGCATCTCACATGAAGGGCATTTGGTTCGTCACAGCTCTGTCAGGTCACATGGATAGGGCTCGACCTTCAGCCAAACAATGTCCGTCACCATTTATTTGACTTATTTTCTCTTAACTGCATTTCCATCCTTCTCCTCCTGTTGTGCGGGGGAGGCTGGGATAAGCAGTCCCTCTGGCACGCTTTCTTTTGCCAGCCCAAGTGCTTGAGCAGTGCAATGAAAAGGATCAGAGAGAAAAAATAAATTTGCAATATTAAAAAAAAAAAAAAAGGAAAAAAAGGAAAGAAAAAGAGTCAATGGAGACATGCTTAGTGAGCAAGGCAGATTTCTTTGGGCGTCCTATGGGTACCCCAAGGGGAAGAGGGGCCCTGCTCTCCTGTGCTGCCCTGGCCAAGCACCTCTGGATGCTCCTGGGCAGAAACCAGCCACCCCTGGCCACCCCTGGCCACCCCTGGCTGGTTTCTTCCTTTTTCTGGTGGGCTCCATTAACCACAGGTCAGCGGCAGCCTTGATCCAAACAGGGATGGGAAACACCTGCGTCTTGCGGTGCAGCGATGTGTGCTTCACATCCCACCCCTCTTTCCTGGAAATTATCAGGCAGAAATATGGATGGTCAGGCCATGAAGCACACAGGTTATGTCACATGTGTGCGCCACAGACATAGCACAGTGCCGGGGGTGTCCCCGACATGTTCAGCTGCCAGGGAATGGGGTTGCTGGCTTCATAATGGCTGTGCAACAGGCCAAAAATACAGGTGTTCCCACCGCATTAACACATCCACCGCACCAGCCGGCTTAACATTCATCACAGCAACAACCCCAAAAAACAAACACTTCCATGAAGAAAAGCTTGTTAAAATAAACTGTGTGATAAACTTGTAAAAAACCAGACTCCCAGCACACCAAAAAGCTGAAAGAGAGGACTGTTCACTGCAGATAAAGAAAACTCACTAAACTCTTATCAACTGATTTCTTTCCATTATAATAAAGTAAACACAAGGCAAATAACTACCTCTGAGAACAGACTCCAGCCCAAATTTCCGCCCAGCTCTATTACACTTAGGCAAAGCATGCGCGAAAAGCGCGGGGCAGAAGAAGGACGGCAGCGTTTCACCCGCCTTTGCACAGACTCTGCCCACAGGCGCAGGACGAGGGAGACCCTGCTCCCCAGGTGCATGAGCAAGGGCTGCAGTTAGCAGCTTGGTACTGCACTTGGCAGCCCTCTGCCTTGGCATAAAGCAGATTTAAACTAAATTTTTCTGATTTTAGGGTAAGATATCCTTCTCACCACAGCACTGCAAACCAGCTCTAGCTTCCATGAACATTAACCATTAAAGAAAATGGATTTTAACTCCAAAAACATAAAATTCCAAAGTCAAACTTTTGAGCTAATACCTAATTTGGATAATTTGCATTTACATCATAAAATTTGCATTTATATGACATGCAACACATGTCGCATTTGTGCAACATCCACACCTGACATAATCTGCAGGAAAAACAGAAGTTTAAAAATTGGGGCATTCTGGAAGCGGGTGCTTGTGACCACAAGCCAGGACCTCCCCACAACGGGGCAGAACACAAACTCCTGCATTGCCGAGTCGCATACGAGGCTACTTAGCAATGGTTGTCCTCTCCCTGTCCCCAGCCAGGAGCTGCACGCTCTGCCTGCCCCGCCGCCAGGCTGGGCAATTAACCATACCCTGGTACAAACAAAGGTAGCGACCACCAGCTTTCACCCCAGGACTCTTTATTTCCTCCTTTTCAAATTGCAGCAGCTCCCTCTTAGAAAGCAAAATGTCTCCAGTCTTAAAAACACAGCTCTGCAAAGCTCCACTGAGACTACATCCTTCAGTCCTATGCGAGGCAAAATCCCAGCTGGCACTAATAAAATATGGGCTTAAGCAGCCTTTTGCTGATGCGTCACTCGAGACATAACGTAGGGCTTTCATTCTGCTTCACCTCGAGAGGTACAAATATTCCAGGCCAAGGTTAGCAGGTTCATAATTACTGTTCATTACATCTGCTTCCCTGTATCCATTAATAACACCGACAGCCTTCCTAACTAGCCAAGAGCACAGACTTACTCTCACTTGGGTATCAGCTTCTCAGCCCCTCAGGGCCTGCGTTCCCCATGGCATGGCACCATGAAGAATGAGGTTTCTTTTCTAATTGTATTTGCCTTCCGCTGTTCCCCATCCCTCCAGACCATAGGTGTGTGGGCAGCAGCACAGCCAGACCCAGTCTTGCAGGGACCTGCCTCTCCAATTCCCCCTGCTGTCACTGCGTGGCACGCTGGCCATTGGAGGAAGTACCTCAAAATTAGGACTGTGACTTTGGTTTGATATTTGGGAGATGCTGGGAATATCACCCACCAGCATTTTAAAGACTGACAGACCTGCCTCTCCATCCCCCGCTGCCTCCCAGGAGCCCTCTCTGACCCCTTCTCTGGTGTTTTAATCCAAAGAGAAACCACAAGCATGCCATTCAGTGTGATATAAAGTTAAAAGATTACCTGCTTCATCTTCAGCAAAAGAGATGATGTATTGATAGTAGTTATTGATAAGCCCAGGGAACATGCATGTTTGTCCCGTCCCCATGCAGATTTCACTGTACTGCCATTCTCCGGTAGCACGATTCTCCTTCAAAGACATCAGGCGCCTGCAAGGCAAAAAAGCACTTGCACCAAGCAACCAAGAAGATGATTTATGAACATTAATCAGGACACCTGGAAGGATGTTTAATGCTTCCTACCCGCATTAGCTACTATAGGAAGTGTAGCTCCTCCAAGAAATAAAAGATTATTAATATTAAAACACATGTATTATGCACCCCTGCAACACCATGTCTTTCAGGGGCAACACAAGCATAAGAAAAAATTGTATGGGAGGGTTTAAGGGATGTCTGGGGGGACTTTGCCAGAAATGCAGAGCACTTGCCTTCACCGCAGCTCTGTGGCCTCTCTCCTGCGCCCAGGAGCAGTGCGTCAGCCGGGGCAGGTGGCATGCGGGCTGCGTGCGAGAGGCCGGGGAGATGCACATACAGCAAAGGCAGAGTAGGTGGGGGGAAAACAAGGCAGTCTCACGCCTGCCTCATCACAGGTTTGTAGCAGACTCACTGCTGGACAATGTTTTTTTTTTCTTTCAATATCTTTGGTGTCTGGAAACGTTGCATCAGAGTGGGGTTTTTTTTAGGATGCATTCGAATGCTTTTTTACACCACTTCCAGGACTTTAAATGAACATCATATCATTGCCTCTTTATTTGTACTGGCACGGTGTGCCTTAGCAGCATCGACGGCTGCTGGGATGCAAAGAATGCATTTCCGCCCAGCCCCATGGACTAAAGGGTATATA